AAACACTTTTTCTTCTTCTTCTTCAGTCTTGTTATTACTCTTGGCATTGTTATTCATTAAATTTGTTTCTTCTCTTCTTTAACCCTTTCAGTGCCATGCGACGATGTATCGTTGTGCGTCTTTTCCCCGAAAAGTGCAATTTTATTTTTACCGATTTTTTTTCTCCCACACGACCAAAATTTACAACAAATGACTTTGCACTCACATTTTGGAAACCTCTCAAACTCTATCTTATGTAGGCTATAATTTATTGAACAGGTTACAAAAATATATTTCACTTAGTAAAATAAAAATAGTACTGGGATATAGTAAAACATTTATGAAATAAGTTAATTATTGAATCAAAACTCTTGCAAACCTTCTCATTGCCCAGTAGCATAATTTTGTTTTTTGCATTATGATAAATTTTTACTTTCTCCCCCTATACCATAGTATATGGAGAAAGTATTGTTTTCGTCAAAATTTTCGAGTTTGAGTAATGAGTGGATATATTCGTTTTGGGTCCCCCTGGACCCCAAAAAAGTGGTTTTCAAAGTGATGTCTGTCTGTGTGTGTGTGTGTGTGTCTGTGTGTCTGGATGTGTACAGAGCTAGGGACTACACCAGTGGTCCGATCTCGATGAAATTTGTTATTTAGGTTCTAATCCATGGTATCTCCAGACGTTTTTTCATTTTTTTGAAATTTTGATTTTTAATGGGGATTTTCTCATAAAAAACCGGAAAATCGTATTTTCTTAAAAATGGCCCGAGTGATTTTGATAAAAATTAGTATGTTGTAGCCCTTTAAATTCTGAACAAAATGGTACAAATCCCATTTCTGTAAAAATTACGGTTCAAAAGTTATTATAAATTAAGTTATTTTCCCATAAAATAACAAAAAATAGGATTTTAGAGTAAAATCTGGTTTTGATTTAACATAGTATGTTAATGGTCCTTACAATTTTGATAGTTTTTTCATTTTTTAGAAATTTTGTTTTTTAATGGGGATTTTCCCATAAAACCCCATATAATAACGGAAAAATAGGATTTTCCCAAAAATGGCCCGAACGATTTTGAAAAACAATTAGTCTGTTATAGTCCTTTATATTCTGAACAGAATGGTACAAATCCCATTTCTGTAAAAATTATGGTTCAAAAGTTACTGTAAATTATGTTATTTTCCCATAAAAACCCCATAAAATAACAGAAAAATCAGATTTCCCTAAAAATGGCCCGAACGATTTTGATAAAAATTTAGTAGGGCCTATGTTATATTTCTTTAAATTCTGAACAAAATTGTACAAATCCCATTTCCGTATATTTACTCTCATTGCTTACACATGATAAAGGTTGTTGACAAACTTATGGGAGAAAGTATGTGTCAGAATGCTGATACCGTTTATTAAATATTTTCTGCTTGCAATGTGGGTGTGTAATGCTTTAAAATTAATCTCTGCTTTAATCAATAATTAGCCGACTTCATAGGTTTTAGGAATTTTTTTATTGCTCAGCAATAAGATCTGAAATTATTTCACTACTTTCATTCTTCAGTGCATGACTTGACCGAGGTTCTGAGACATTTATGAGATGTATGAGCTGGTTCTGGATCTTGTTCGGTTGTAAACAAAGTGGTGAAATTTGTTTCTCGATGATTGATTGTACCTTCTCTCCCTTGCTAATTCTGTAAATATCTTTTCTTCGGAAGTCAACCGGGTTTTATTTTTAATCTTGAAAATTAACCTTGAAAATTTAACACTTATATGTACATAATAAACTAAATACAATATATTTTTAAATGTTTAGTCCAAACTTACCAACGCAGTTATTTTTGTTTACACGTCAAATCTAAATTATGATAATAAAAATAACCTGTAACAGCTGTTTTGTTAACTGCCGCATAAAAAATTATTGACAATAACATGGGTACTTTCAAGGGCTGTAGGACAGAAACAGGATTTTTCCCAGCATTGTGACCAACTCCAATCGATTTCTCGTGGCCAAATTCATATGATCGATATTCAACCAAAAAAATCAAAAATCCTCGGACGAAAATTAAAGTTTGCCCGTACACACGCTTGTTTTAGATTATACGATTTTATGAAACTTTAGTCTTTTACTATTCAAACATAGCTTTGGGAACTACAGTATTTACAAGAGTAAAAAGAGGACAAACTTCATATTTTAAACTTGTCTACAGCAATTGAGCAAGAATGTCATAACTTAAAAAACAATATTCAAAATACAAAAAAATTTTTTTTGAAATTTCTAAAACTTTTTTTCTTAGTTATGAAAATAAAATGATTTTCCATCAGTTATATTTTTCTCCATCCGGTTGGACAAGGATAATGAAAGCTTTATAATGTGAACAATAACCAGTGAATAGGGTTTTAGTTTGGATCATAAAGCATAATATCTAATTTTTTCATAAGCTAAGGTAATACAGTAGACTTCGGGTAGTAGGATAATGGGTTTTCCGGTTAAACCAACGTCCCCAAAAACTTGTTAAAACGGACTGTTTACTGTGATATTTAACTTAAATTTAGGAGAGCATTGTATTTAGACACGTCATTACTGGTCTCAAATCTTTCCCACGAGAACAGTCTTTTCAGTAGTGCCCACTTCCTGCCGATCTAGTCCAGTTAAACCAATGTGCTGATAAAAATTGTCCGGTTAAAGTAAAGAGATGTAATTTCCGCCGAGTGTAGTCCGGTTAAACCGATGTCCGGTTAAAAGGTGTCCGAATAAGAGGGAGTCTACTGTATTGTAATATTTAACTCTACAAGAATTATACAACTCTTGTGTCTGTAGCTCCCCAAAAACTCTGGTCAATGGTAATTCAGTTTGTCTGTGTATTAACATAGACAAAAAGAATGAAATATAGACTGTCAGCCGTGCTAAGGTTGCCATGGTTACCATAGGTTCTGGCGCACACCGCTTGGAGCACCACGGTAGTTACGGCGTACACGCTACGTAAACTACAGCGGTGTGCGCCGGAACCTATGGTAACCATGGCAACCTTAGCACGGCTAACAGTCTATATTTCATTCTTTTTGTCTATGGTATTAATCATACAGCCATTTTAAAAGGCATTTTTGTATTTTGCGTAGGGATGGGTGTGTCTCAAATTTAGGAGAAATTTGCAATATTTAAAAATCTCCTTAGTTCAAGCAAGATTGACTTTGCTCGAAGACTTTTTCAAGATGAGATTGAAATTTCATTTAAATAGGCTAAGAATGCCTTTGCAAATGATATAGAGCAACAACGTGTTCCTGTTTTGCTGGTATTCCAGAGACTTTCTGAAGGCGTTTTTAACTGTGTACATCACAAAAATCCGTAAAATCGGTTTATCCCGTAATTACCTTATCCGTTATGAGTTTTATGACGCTGGTCCCGGATATACTAGGTTTTACTGTATGTGATATCATTATCACTGAGATCAGAAGTAAGAAGTAACACTGTACAAGCTACTACAATTATCTAGTTTCTTATAGATTTTTTTTCTTGTTAAACAGTTAGTTGTGGTGTACATGTTGCAGTTTTACATTAAAGATGTCTTATTTGATTTATTTCTTATTTAAGATTTTCACAACTATTTAGGTTTTTATAAGCTTTTGTTTATTTGTACATTTTTTTTGTATAAACTTTTGTAATAAAGGAGTTATTGTTCTTTAGTTGTTGGGTACTTTGATATTATACGGAGGCCACCCTTATACAGCGCACTGCAGCAGTTATGTTAAATTGGGTTTATCATAAATAGAAAGTATGACTCATCTGGTATCGTTTGATTCATAACGAAACAAGGAAAGTCCTACAAACATATTTATGATAATCCAAAACCTAACATAACCGCCACAGCGCACTTTAAAATTGTGTCCTCCGTATAATACCAAAGTACCAGTTGTTGTTTTAATAGTGCTTTATTGTTATTACAAGTGGCGAATCAACAACAAATTTCAATCTCAAATTGTGTTATGTGAAGTGGCAGCCAACAAAATTTGTCGATTAACGTAACATTTTCTCCCGTTGCATTTTACGCACAGTTAAAATCAATGAAATGACATAACTCTTATACCAATGGAAAGATGAGATTCTGAAGTTTCATTTTTTATAAGAATGAACCTTATAACATAGGTATATCAATCTAATCATGAGTTACATTTGAATGGAATTAACGCGTGAACTCACAACCGCCAAGTAATTTTTTTTCTTTTACTTTTTTCAAAAAATTATTTTTTTTTTAAATTCTATTGAATATTACAAACAAAATGGATGCACAGCTCAATAGTTTATCTCTACTTACTAGTTTTATACAGATTTTTGAAAAACCACCTTACAAATTCACCAAAATAAGCGTGCCACTCCACAAAGCACATACTGAAAATTGGTCTCGCCAATCCTAGGGTTAACCATTGTAAAACTGCACAAACAAATAATTCCCTATAGTAATGAGATCTATAGTCTTGACTCAAATTGGGACAAGAAAAAACATCTCACCTCAATCTCATCTCGAACATAAAATTCAGTCTCGTCCATCCCTAGTTTTGTGTTAACAAATTTCCTATTGCTGGGTTTCAATACCAACCTTTGCCAAACACTTGGTATGGTATGTAAGTAGTTAAACAACCACAATTTGACTTAGCTATTGGGAAATTGTTTTTTAATTCATGTTCTAACATTAGCAATTGACCTAAAGTTGGCACTCCAGGGATCAAAGGATTCTACGCAAAATAAAATATCATTTAAATATACATTTATTTGTAGAATGCAATATCAGTACATTGGTAAAATATTAAAGAAAACAAAACAAGTAAAAAAATCAGATACATGGTACAAAATCAAATAACTAGTATTAAGAAACAATGATTTGAAATCATTAACAACTTAATAACAACAACAACTTAACAAGCCAATAGGACAAAGCTATTAAAATATAATAGTTAATATTAAATGTGCAAAAATTATATATTAAATATGAATAAATATTTCAATCAAATAAATTGTTATGATTAAGTTCCTTGATAACTTTTAAAACGTGCAACACAATCGATCATAAATAACAATCTGTATAATAATGTATAAAGATGAAACTATGTTGATTTTACAGGTAGCCTTACAAAGGAAGTGTGGCTTTTTATGCACAGTAGATATCCAAACTGGATGAAACAAAAATTCTGGTTAAACATGGTTTTGATCATAAATTGAAGTAAAGACACTACTTTGAAATACAGACACTGATAAATTGTTTAGAATCCAGATATTGTGTAATCTGGATAACTGTTATAGCTGCAAGATTTTTATCTGGGAAAATGCCACTTTATAGGTGTATTAAAACAAAACTTAAGTTTAAACCGAAGTGAAGTGAAGAGTCGTATCTTCAAGCTGTGTACTTTCGAGCCTAACAATTAAACCAACACCATTAAAATACAAGCCAACAATGTTGAACAGTTGTGTTACAATTAGGTTTGGTGGGATATAAAGTAACCTTCAGTGAGTAAATAGTTTAGATTCTTCCAAGATTAGTTTTGGAGGAGTATGTCATGAAAACCAATACTAGTAGGTTTATTTTTTAACTAAGGACTCCACCAAACTACCATCGTGACCAAGCAAGGCTAGTTCAAATCTGAGAGATTGTCGTGTTATTTACTTCACCCACATAATTCTAGCCTGTTCCCACCCCAATGCTTGGTCTCGTCACAGTAGCCAGGAAAATCAACGCACCCGCCAAGTATAAGTCACCCTGTCAAGTACGTACAAGTTTTACAACTATATTCCGTTACTGTAAAAATAGTAGGCTTCTCTAGTTTACTATAGTCGAATAGATTACAGAATAGGACCGAAACCAGTTCGTGTTGTGAGGGCAAGGGCAAGCAGCATCCAATCAGCTTTCAGAAAACTGTCCACTGTTGCCAAGTTGTCCCACGCACTCAGTCTTTGTCCGACAGCTGACCTGTGCGTTTTGAGCATATTCTCTTGTTTTGTCAAGAAATTGCCTTAAAGTGTGCTTATAATTCGAAACAGGCCAGTAACAAAGCTACACAAGGCATCTCACTCCATTCTACACTCATATTTAGGTTAAAATACGCTCATAGGTGGCGTCCCCATCTCAAATGAATAATATGGAAGGTTATATCCTCTTCATTTCCTTGTTAATTTTGTTTCATGTATCAAACAATAAGCTGAGCAATATTTTAGAACTGCTAGCCTATACAAATTGTTTGGTCATATTAATTTACTGTTATTGTGATTAACAATATTTTTTATAGTCACATTTTTGTGTTATTAACTGTTACGGTGATTTATTGATTCAATTAAAATTTATTAATTTTATGTTTATATTTATTTAAAAAAAAAAAACTGCATCTGGTAGCTGTTAGAGCCATTTTAAAGACAATTGGAAGCAAATAATCAAACCATAATAATGTATGGGATGAATTTTGTGTTCCATACGATTTAAAAATATAACAATACTAACCGATACCACCAAGAACAAATAAATTATTAATTTGTAGTGTTGAACTGAACTACAAGTGGAAAGATAGAGTAAGGAGGGTGCCGGGCTCTAGGTGAACGTCAGCTCACCAGCCAAGAACGACGTGGCAATGTCGCATCCCCGACCTCTTCAAAGGCCAGTCCTATTCTGTAATCTATTTGACTATAACTATATGCAATCACAAAAATAATATTTGGTTATCAAACGTATTCATTCACTTTTGTATATACTTGTAATGCTTTAGACCTTTATCAAATTCAGACAAAAAACCACTCTTGAGTTGTCCAAACGTGAAGTAGTCTTACATGTAGATTTACACAACCATAATACCAGACTGTACTTACCCTGAGTTGGATGAATGCGTATGTCGCAGCCGCACCAAGAAGGAATGAGAACAGCTGTGTGGCGTACGGGATCCTCAATCCAGCTCGCTTCCTCATCATCATCTGAATGAAGCTCATCTTCTTGTCCGAGTAAGGTGGGTACCGACTCCTGAACACACGGGCAATCGTTACAAAACATGTTTAAAAACTTAATCAATCCTTCCCTGCCAGTCCACAGTTGGTTTTTATTCCCAACTGATAGGAGCTTTTTAACTCAAAGATACATCTGTCATCTATATTTATTTTATTTGGTGTAATGGGAGGGTTTGTTTATAGACAGGATTTGGCACTCCTACCAGATGAGTAGGTTGGTAGTGTATTTAAACATAATTTAAATGGACATTAACCTGCAGAAACATTATGCTTAAGTTGAGATTAGCTTAATAATCGAACATAAGCAACCTTAATCCAGGTTGGGTATAAAATTTGATAAATCAAACCCTACCCTGGGTAATTGATAAATCCCTATATTTTGTAAAAGGCAAATAGCACAGACTGACAGATAGATGGTGGTTGGGTATAACTATATCTCACAAAATATATGACTTATATAATATGAGAATTATCAAATTTGGTATAAGCAGTACTTATCATCAGTAATTAACATAGTAGTACAGTAGAAGTAATAAAATATAAAGCTATGTCAGGCAAAGCCGACGGGTAACTGCTAGTAAATTATAAATAAGTCTAATAAACCATCATCAATTTTATATTTTTAGTTTTTAACTGTTGCCAAATTAAAATGTAAATAGCAAAGATTTATTTAAATAATTTGTTTAACTTTCACTGCATAAAAACAGTCAAATAAGTTACAAAAATACGATGATGAAACAAATTGTTGATTGCATATTGTTATTTATATTTGGACTTGTTCATTGGCATTTTCATAATGAAATAGACATTTCATTTATATGGACCACCTGTAGCCAATCTATATAAATAAAAATGAATCCCTTTTTTTGATGGTATTCCATAACTCGAGAACGATTGCACTGAATTGGATGATTCTTTTTTTGTTGTGTTCCTTAGTGCCAGGTGAGGGTTTTTATGTAAGGCAATTTATAATCCATCCAACCATTATTTATTTAGTAATTTGGTTTTTAAAATAAAAAAAATTCCTTTCAATGCATTGGAGGAAAATATTTTCATTAAACTGTGGGATACAATAAAATGTGTAGGGTGGCGAAAGAACTTCAAATTGGAGGCGAGTGAGCGTGGCGAACGAACTTCAACCAGGACGTGATTGAGCGATGCCATTGAGTATACACGTACTAGAGTAGCCACTCATCAGTGGAGGTTATCATTACCTGAACAGCGCTGTTGCAGAGTAGCGTCAGTGCTCCACCTTGGGCTTGTCGGTAAGGCAGTTTGGTTGTTTTTTTCATTATTGCGTTCATTGTAGGTTGTAAAATGTAATTTTTGTTGATGAAATTTGTTTGTTTGTTTCTAGTTTTGTTGTTTTACAATATATTTTGAATACTAATTAATTAAAAGGTTCTCAGAGGCACACTGCACTATCAATCAATCAATCAATCAATCAATAAAATCTTTATTCAAAACGTACAGATACATTGTACATGAATGCGTCATTATGTTATTTTTAAATAACATAAAGGAATATATTACATAAAGTTAAAAGATTTTTATAAGAACAGTTTTTAGATAAAATAATATATTGCTTAAAGTTAGATAAAATTACATTACTTAAAGTTAAAAAAATCATCCAGACTATAAAAAGAATTTCCTATTAAAAATTGTTTCAGTTTCTTTTTAAATTTAATTGTGCATTGCTCCTTCCTTATGCCATCTGGGAGTTGATGGATAAATTTAATGCCAATATACTGAGGACTTTGCTTATATTTTTCTTTTTTATGATTTTTAATTGTGAAATTTTGTTTATATCTAGTATTGTAATTGTGGATATCCTGTTGTCGCTCTAATTTTGATTCATTATTTTTTACATAAAGAATTGTTTTATAGATATATAAACACGGAACTGTTAAAATTTCCAAATCTTTGAAATATTTTCTTAAAGAATTTTTGCTAGAGGTTCTTTCTAAATTTAGGATGTGTCTAATAGCTTCCATTTGTAATAATAAAATTCTTTTTAAATTTTGATTACTCGTACCCCCATAAATTTCAATGCCATAAGTTATATGGGAGTGAATGTGGGCATAGTAAACTGTTTTAAGGGTTTGTACATTGCAAAAAGGTTGAAGTCTATTAATTATAAAGATTCCAGAACTTATTTTCTTACAAACATGATCAACATGTTTGGACCAGGTTAATGTTTTATCAACTATAAGACCTAAAAACTTGGTGTTATTCTCAAAGTTATTAAAAATTTCATTGTTTTTTGAGTTTTTACAAGAAAATTTAACCAAAGTAGTTTTGTTCTTATTTAGTAAAAGATTTTTATCATTGAGGAAAGTGTTTACTATTGAAATGGCATTTTCTATTTTGGATTCTATACTGTTTGTATTCCTGTCATGTATTGACATACTGATGTCGTCTGCATATAAACATAGTTTGGTATTCTGGATTTTATTAGTTAGGTGTTCCTGCATACCTCCCAGATAACACAAAAATAGGAACGGTCCAAGAACCGATCCTTGAGGAACCGAGTAATGTACCTGCCTTAACTTAGATTTTATATTGTACAAATTTTGCTTCTCAACAAATCTAACACTGACATACTGTTGCCTTTCTTCCAAATAAGACCTTATCCAGTTTAATTCTTTACCATCAATACCATAATTTTTAAGCTTATTTATTAAGGTAGGATGGTGAACACTATCAAAGGCTTTAGACATATCTAAAAAAGCACCAATAATACAGTTATCTTTATCCAAATTCTCTAAAATATCTTCAATAAAAGATATCAATGCTGTTATGGTGGACTTTTCTTTTCTATAACCATGTTGATCTTGGTCCAACATATTATTAATTTCAAAATAATCTATCAACTGATAAAGCATACTTTTTTCAAAAAGTTTTGAGAGTGAAGGTTGTATAGCTAACGGCCTATAATTCGAGGCATCCTTATGTTTCCCTTTTTTAAAAACAGGAATAATCTTAGAAATTTTTAATTGAGTAGGATAAATGCCAGTTATTAGAGATGAGTTGATTACATGTACCAATAATCGACAGACTACCACGACCCAAGCGTCAGCGGCCTGAACTACATCACCAAAATCGATAACAACTAATAGCATTATGTGACAACTCTTATACGTGTATACTCAATGGCGATGCGAATGAGCTCATCTTGAAAATAATTAATAAACGAGTATTTGATATAAAACCACGTTAGGACAGAACGTCGTCTGTCGGGCCAGCTAGTTTTTAATAAAACAGAACATAGTTCAATGAGCTACTGTAAATATTATTTTTCTATGATTGATTTATCATATGAGATATGATATGGTTTACACAGCACCAGTAACGGTGTGTTTTTATTTCAGTATGGCTTGGTTAAAAGGTTGATTTACTTGGCAATCATCAGTAATTGATTGCTATCAAACCCACTCTGCGGAGGCCCAATTCAGCTGTGTAAATCTTAAATCTATAACTGGTTACAACTGTATCAGTGGGATGGGAAATGGGATGTTTACTCCCCTTACCGCACCCTATATACTTGCACTAAACTTATTAGATCTTGTAATCACTGCAAAACTTACGCTGATAGGGACTCCAGGAGGGGGTTGAAGTCTTTGATGAGAGCGCTGCGTTGGTGAGTGAATGTATCAAAGCTGTACTTGCCATGGTACGATCCCATGCCACTGCTGCCAACACCACCAAACGGCAGACTCTCAACTGTGCAAGAACCAACTCGTCACAATGGTAGGTAAAATTAAAATTTGAGTAATTGTTCTTTCGTAAAATCTATTTGAACAAGTTTTACTGAGTACTAAAACCAACCAATATTTCAAAATACACATGAAGCCAGAAAAGTAAGTAAGTAATAAATCCAGGTATTCTGCACATTTAATGAAGCTTTTAGACTAAGTATGAAATTGAGCTAATACTAACAAAAATAGTAATTTATGCACTTTGACTAGGAATCGTGTATATTGCCTATGCATTTATAGAATTCACACAGTTGTGGGTGGCAAAGTATTAATTTTTTTTTAAACAACTATATACGTGCTATACAGAATTGAAATATTTTGTACATGGATGGGTTAGCTTAGTTTAGATTAGTTAAGGACAAACAAGGAAACAAAAGTTCTACAACAGTGTATTTCATACGTTATCTGGAGTGTCAACAAGTATTCATAGAAGGACATGGCAAAGTATATACTGTAATGTGCTTTATTGCATACCTTGCCTGATTCATTTTATGCAATCTATAAATAAACCTAGGCATTCTGTAGAATACCTGATTATATAATTTGCCAGTATATATTGTAGATGGTTTTATAGTAGAAGTTATACCAGAACCAAATCATAAATTATTATTAGTCACAGTCCCCAAAACAGAACGTTTTAATATTTTCCAAAGATTTTCTACAGGCTTAAACGGTTCAAGTTACATGAAGTGTAAATAAACTGCGTGTGTGATAGTTTTAATGAATATTTGGAAATAATAAGTTTTCAAAAGCTTATATCCGTTTGAATATGTCTACTGTTATTATATTGATTTGCTTTAGAAATTTGTTTATTCTATGTGTTTACTCACGATCGATGCACCGTATATTGACATCCTAGCTTTCGTTTATGTAATGCATGACGTTTTGTAGCGTTACTGTTTGCAGAACAGAGAATTTTTCTACAGAAAATAAAGTTGTAGACTTTCTTCAGAAACTTATACAGGTTAAGTGTAAGAAAGGACCATGAGGCCTTTACTTTGCCTGTGAAAATAAGGTTTTCATTTTTTTATGTATTCAAAAATGTGTTTTATTGCAGGCCTCGCCGTCGTTCTGCGACAATGTCACACTGTCACCCGTAGTTCTGCTTTGGGGGTCACAGATAAAACATGTGTTTGTTAAGAAGTAGAGAAATTGAACATTAGTGTTCCAAATACTTTCAAGTTTGGGGTGTGTTGCTAGCATAGTAGTTACTACCTCGGACTTAACTGTAAGAAGGACGGTTTTCATCTCAGGCATATCCAACAAAAATTGACAGGTTCAGACCGCTTTCTCTTACAATATTTTGTGATTCCTTATTCTAAAATGCTACTGGACATGAAGACTAAAAATTTGTCTTCTGAAAACCTTGGGAAATGAATTATGCAATTGTCATTTGTTAAGTTGAAAAGAAAAGTTTTAAAATTAGAGTTTAAGTTCAAAATGGAAACGTGAAGTGTTATGGAGACTTCTAATATAATCACAGATCTAACCATATTAGTAGTGTGACAAATCATGGGTTCGTTTTTAACCCTTTGCATGTATCTTGCAAAGCATTAAAGCTGACCAGTAAACTAAGAGAACCAAACAAACATAGGAGACCCAAAGACATTCATTTGGCACAGTTTAGTTCAAACAGAATGGTGACAAAATGACAACATTCTTTTGATATCTCATGCAGAGTTATAGAAGACCTAACAACAAAGAGAAGCAAACAAAAAAGCTGGTGCAACACATAGACAATGATTTAGCAAAGGTTCAGTTCTAACAGATGATTAAGTAACTGATGACACTGTGGTTTCTCCTAAATAAATTAGAATAAAAAACGCTTTATGCCCCAAAACCCGGTGTATTGACTTTAATTGAGCGTAAAACAAAACAAAAATTCATCTGTCCCAGCAAACCTGCATACTAAGCAAATTTCCATTTGGCTGATTGGAATTTCAATAAAATCTATTTAAATAATATTCATTAGGTTTAACGATTACCTAGATTTTCTGCTACAGGGAGGGTAATAAAGTGGGTTTATTAGTAAAATATAATAACTTAGTATAAAATGAATAAATTTGCCAAGTTTGATCAAAATATATCGATAAACAAGCAAACTACAAGTTATTCTCCAAAAGAATAAAATGGAATTTCAAATATACAATGGTTTTTATTTTCTCCGTATTCAATGACCGTACAAAATCACTTCAACATACAAAATTATTTGTTTGTTTTAAGCTCTTCAAAATGGTTTAGAGAAAAATTGGGAAATTTATATTTATACACAATCAAGAATCAAATTGATTTGATCAAGAATTAAAATTGTTTCTTAAACTAGTATTGTCTACAAGATAAGGAATTCCTTCTGTAAAAAACTTGTCAGTAGCGGCCCTTGAACAATAAACAATGATCAGATGGTAAGAAGATTTTTGTTTGGTGTATTTCAATACCATTGGCATTTTTTAACAGGTTTTTCGGTTTTTGTAAGGAAACGGGAACCTAACAACAACCGAACTTAAGTTGACAGGCTGAGTGGATTCTTTGTGGGTTGTACCTCTTAGTGGACATTTTGCTTCTTTCTACCTACCCTTACCCTTACGAGGTGTGTTTACTGAAAACTTGTTTTATAGATGTTAGAAGTTTGTGTCATAAGATGAGAAAACGCAAATTTGAAATAATCATATCTAAAACAATAAATCACTGGGGCTTAAAGGGACAAGTGAACAATAATCACACGCCAAACCAAAATTAGTTGTGCAGCAAACGATTGATTTGTTTGAAAATCTCATGCAGAACAATGAGAACCAACATAGAAAGCGGACAAAAACGCGAACGAGACACAAACAAACCTGATGCATGAACGACAGAATCATTGATACAAACGCCTCCGCTAGACGTCTGGGAGAGAAACTGGTTAATCTGTTCCTCGTCTGAAGAGAAGATATAGAGTACCAGAGGACGAGGTCTATGATGACAAGTTATGTAAACAACTGACGATATTTGAGACTTTGTTTTGGTAACATTTCAAACTGGATGTTGGCTTATCGGTGGGTTGCAAAAATTAAGGTTTTGATGGCCATAGTTTAGAAAATCTTTACGATATTCACATAACATAAAAGTCACTGGAACAAACTTAAGTGTTCAAACCACTAGACTTATTTCAGTCATTATAACTGTACATCACAATGGCTTATAAGTGTGATTCATTTTGTTTTGATACAAATTTTTTACAGAAATATACAAGTTTAGTGCCTATCTTTAGTTTTGAAAACTATGTTTAAATTTTACCATAAAACATTATAAAAAACATACTGTTTTGAATTTAAAAAGTAAAACAGTGTTATCGTTTTAATTTAAATATTGTTTTAAAACAATTTACTATTTTAACAATTTATTCTTTAAAAATTGACAAATCAGACAATTTTTACAATATTTTTCAATCAGTCTGCATCCAGGTTAAAATCTTACCAAAACAGGAACATGATCACATGTAACTTTGACGTAATTAAGGAACAGTAACACAATAGAAGCTGCTATCACTCCATTCTTCTACAACAAACAGAAGACAAGCAACAAAAACACAAAAACAATTAAAGACGCAGAAGGAAGAGAAACTGCTGTTGCTATAAATGGGACAAACGTTTATCATTTTAATGGCTAAAGATATTTTGCATCTCATAGCATGATAGATTTACATTTAACTGTAGGGCCTATAGTAACTACCAACCTTCAATTTATCTACACACCCCAAGTGAAAAAGATAATGTAAATATTATTGCATACATCTTACATATTACAAAACCAAATAGCCTCCACCTAGCACAAAGAAATAGTACAGCTTAGTTAGAAAGAGATATACAGTGACAGACATTTGAAGAGAAGTCAAGAATTCCGCCACCAGAAAGAACCTGCAATATAGAGAGTAAATGTTAATGTGTGCTATTTTACCGGCGTAGTGCATGACGACCTCGTTGATACTGACGGAGCCACTGTTGGTCTGTTCTACGATGAGGTCTTGTACCTTGTGGTCCGCACTGAACACGTACAATGTCAATGGTTTGGGTCTGTAACATACATTGGCCGTTGTCTGAACTCAGCTGCTAGACAAACGTTTTCGCTGGCAAAAAATGTAAATTGAATGTAAATTGACATGTTAAACTATGGGTGCAAAAGATTTTTTAAGTATTTTCAACAGTTATTTTCAGTTTTGTGCTTGTGATTTTATAAACTAATGCAGGGGACTCCGAGCTACGGTCGGCACATCCAAACCTTGCGAACAAATTGTTTCTGTCCCGCCAAAAGGTGGCATAGGCTACCAAAAAATATCTTTAAAAGAAAGCTTTTTTTAATGAGTAGATCGATCGTCTATCGTGGCAACACTCATCAGTATATCTAATAGACAAGGCAATACCATGATCGTTTCCCGCAGCCGCAGCACACGTGAGCATATATTGCAATCTCGGTGATAACAACACCTGAAGTGTTTTTACTGGATAATTACCAATTATTGGTGTAACAGATTCTAAAACAAAATATATTTAATAATATGTCCCTGGTAAACAATCTTCAGATTGGTCCAAATGGTCAACAAGAGTATAAAAAATAAATGTTGAACATTTCCATTACAAGTGCAAGTTACTATCATTTATCTAATATAAAAAATATTTTAAGAAATAGTGCTTAAATCACTATGATTGTAACTGTTATCAATGTAAAGTTATACAACCTTTAGGTGTTGAAACTTATAATTTTTTATCTTTGTCAAAAACTTAAATTACTAGATTGAAATCCTATATGGCTTAAAACTTACTAAAGTTACCACTAAGACTATGATTATAAAATTAAAAACTACAAGCAAACATTGCTCGTATTATAGGATACTGAAAGTGAGGTTATAAAAATAATAAAAAATGTCTGACAAACATTAAACAGCTGATGAATAATTTATAAACTGTGTATTATATTCTTCAATAAGAATTGTATTGACTCGACCTTTGAAGGGCTGTAGATCGTAGCGCTTAGAAAAAACATAAATTCTAAGGAAGTTCGGCAAATCTACGCATTATCCCCTTTAATTTGAGACATAAATCTTGTAGATCGGTCCAGTAATTACTGAGAAAACAGACTTACAACTGTGTATTAAATATATAGATTAACTATTTTTCTTTTAGATGGGAAGTAACCTAGATGGTGTTTCTTAAAAAATATATGGTTGCTATCAACCCTGAGGTAAAAATGAAATACAGCAGCCTACATTATTTATTAAACCAAGACTTGGCTACAATCAAACCATAAGTTCACCATACTAGCTTAAAACCTACTCACCTGCTGTTGATAAAGCTAATGGCCTGGTAAGCGTTTTCTGCGACAACTATGGGCAGAATGGGTCCAAATATCTCCTCCTGCATGATTGGGTCTGTTGGCTTGACGTCAACCAATACTGTAGGAGCGATGAACCTATCTGTGGCATCTCGCTCCCCTCCAACAGCAATCCTACCACTGGTGTCCATCAAGTCTACCAACCGCCTGAGTGAAAAAAATAGTTTTTGTGCAATTTTTCATGTTAAGTGTAAGAAAGGGTCATTATGGTCTTAATTTTGCCTGTCTAAATAAATAATAACATATAAATTTCACTTTCAATTATTTTATTTAGCCTAAAAACATTTACCTGACTGTTGAAAAACATGTAAAAACTTTATATCCACTTTCAATAAAGATATATCCGGTTTAGATCCAAAATCTACAAGATGAAATCAAAAGTTACCAACATTGATAACTTTTTTATTCACATCGAGATATAATTAATAATTGAAAATTATTAAACTACTTGAGAAAAATTTTGATCCTACAATGCTAACTAATAAATACAAGCACTTGTAACTTGCATAACTGTTTATTCATAACTGGGAAGTAAATATGGATTAATATAAGAAGTACAGAAGCAAAATATATAACACTAACCATATTGGCTGTGAAATATTTAAAAACAATAGGACTGGGGCTAATTAAACTGCATGCTTCAATCTGCAAAACTCACATCTAAAAATGTGTTTTGGAATTTTAGTTGGACTGAGCCCCAAATATTTATTAATTGATTTAGTTAGGTAGATTTTTTAAATTTTGTCCTCAACTTAAAGCACAAAAATCCTCTTTTGTAGCAGTACAGTCCTACGATGCCACACATTTCTACAATAAGTGAATACCAGATTTGAGAGACAACACTTTAGAATAATGACAGTTACAAAAGCAAAGATAGTTTAAAACTATCTGCTAACTTTGCTAGCAAAAAGGTTTGTTTAATGTTTGGGTTAATTAATTCTTTAGTTGCTCTTGATGTCAGATATCAGTCGTATTTGGAACTCAAAGGAGATGAATCAGATTTTGCTATGGATAGCTGAGTGCAAGCAAAGCTAAGATGTTCAGTTGGTAAGTAATAATTCCTTTTTATGGTAAAAATGGTTAAATCTGGCAACAACTCTATCATGGGGATGAAATGTCTAGTTGTATCAATAGTTAAAGCTATAACATGAAAGACAAGAATGGGAACTCACTTGAAGTGTCTGTCAGAAACGATCCTGCACAGGTCTGGTGAGTCCTGGGATCGGTCTCCGTACCACTCTTTCAGGATAACCTCGGCTTCCTTCAGGAACTGTTTTTGGACCTGGACAAGAACACATCTAGTAACCAACCAAACTCAAATAATCTTGTGTAGTTTTTAGTAGGTCTTATCAACGCTTGTTTTACCGTGAGGTTCCATCTACAGCTACACATCACTGTATTCAATAATGAATAAGTAGATCAGAATGCGGAACCGCCTTTCCAACAATTTAAAAACATAGTAAACCGTGAACTACTACCTAGGTTTAAGGAAGAAATGTAATTTATTTTTTAGGATACAAACACTTTCATTTACTAAGACTCTGCACTATTGTGACTAATTAGGGAGCGAGCTGGTTTAGTGTTAGAGTATTGAACTTTGGTCCCTGAGGTCCCGGATTCAAATCCCTCTAAATCACCAATGGATTTTATCTAAAGATAATGCCGCAACCCCTAGGTTTAGACTGAAGTTATGTGAAAAACAAATCCGAGCTCATGCCTAACGTCCTAGGACAAAAAAAAGCCTGTGTACATATGATTTGGTTGAGTAATATAAGAAATTGTTTAGTCGAAAAATCGATGTGAACCTTTTTTAAAATGTTACTAACCAAAGTTGAAATAACCTATGTTATTTTACTGTCAATGATCAATGACTCTACTGTACCTGTAAGATATTCAGCTCAGTCATTGTTGTTTGAACGTAGAAACATATACACTTACAAAAATACAAAATGTTAATTGTAACATTCAAACTACGATACTTACATGTTGAGAACAAAGAATGTAATCAGGAGCAATGCAAGTTTGTCCAGCATTCACACATTTGCCCCACAGTATGCGCTTGGCTGCTATCTTTATGTTGGCTGTACTGTCTAGGTAAACAGGGCTGTAACAGGTACATATTTAATCAAAACTTGCCCCACAGTATGCGCAGGGCCTGATTACCCATCTAAACATTTGCTGACACAGATTTAAATGTGTACTTATTCCATCAGTGTTTATTGTATCTATAAAGAGATCCTGCAATAAGAAATTATTTTCTTTGTATATCTCACATCATTTGAATTATATACTCATGACACAAGAATATTAATAATTAACACAAGGCTAGTTAGTGGCTGTTACGGTTGATTAGTTGTATGGTGTTTGTATTTGAACCTATAGCCGGTTTTGCACTATATTTCAATGTGTAAAGGCATTTATATTTGGTGAGATTTCAAGTCAATTTTTTCAAAGATGTTATTCTCGGCCCTAACAACTAAAATGGCTGTGTTAAACAAAGCTTTGTTAAGTTTGTCTCACTATTGACACTGATCTCCAAACCATCAAAGTAACATCTAAAAGATAAACAAATAGTCCACTCCGAACGAAAATAAATTCATATTGATTTTAGAGTGTAATGACATATTTTATTGTCTTTTGGAAAGTGAAACATTAAGAATTAATGTTCAATTTATTTTTAGAGGCAATCAGTTTTATTACTGATTTTTGTAAGTACTACATCAATGCTATTACTTTCTTGTTCTGAATTAAAAATTAAAACTTCCAGTGAGCGACCCTAACAAAAAAGAATAAGCCGTCCTTAGTCTGTAAGAAGGCTTGTACATAAATTTATTCCACATTTTCACTCATTTTCTTTTTAGTACACACACACTGTTTATAAATGTATAGATAGTACTATACTATAATCTAAAGAAATGCTTTAATGTGTCATACTTTGATGTGATAAACAATTCTTTATCAACATTCTGAAAAAGTACCTTTTATCGTATTGCAGTGAAAACCACTATTATAACTTAGCTAATGCAGGAGCTAACTTATAAATAGCCCAACAAAGTCAGCAATAAATTTTATCACACAATGAAAGGTGTATTTTCCATTCTCACTTGTGTTCCAAAAATAAAACATCTTTTATATAAAAGTGTCACTCTGAGAGACCTGTAGGCCTACCTCTTGCCACCCAACTCCAGCGTGACCGGTGTCAGATGCTCGTTGGCAGCAGCTCGCACAATCTTGCCTACAGAGGTGGAGCCGGTGTAGAAGATGTAGTCAAACTTGTGTTTCAACAATTCCGTTGTTTCTGACACTCCTCCAGTGACTACATGGAAACATTCCTGCAGACAGAATACACCGTGTTAGGTGAATGGAAGCGATTACATCTACTGGAACCATCATTGACTGACTGTCTGTTGAACAAGAGTTGAGTAATTGTACTATAAAAGGTAATGTTGGGTCAGTTAAATTAGGTTAGTTAACTTCAATGTCATAAACGTAAATTTTAGGTTGTCAAAGTAAGTTTATCAATCCACTTTGATTACTTTTACGTAGACACGCCAGTGGCATTATTAAAAGGAAAACTATATAACCTACAGTGGTAGCTCAAATAAAAAAAATCCTCATTAACAGGCCACCCTCAACATCAAGTGATTTTCAAATCCCCTTGTATTTATTTCACCCCTAATCACATGTTAAACTGGTGATTGTTGTCGAGATTCTGGTGTAGAAAGTTTATCTCCATAAACTTAATACACACTTGAGCTGAGTATTAGTAGGTTAATACCCTTGCAAAAAAGTTCTAGAATGCCACTAGTATTAGGATACGAAGAATAAAAATAAAATTCAATAAAGATAACATATATTACTTTATGTAAAACAAACTATCTTCATATTTTATAAAAGAGGTAGGCAGTCGGTTTAACTTTGCATTTGCCTATCTACATGAACCATCTACAATCCAAATTCCGTACCCCAACAATAGCAACTTACCGAGTCCAGGTACTTAGGCACCAGCCGTTCTATCAGACTAGCACTGGCTGGCGCAACCTCGGAAGGCTTGATGATGACACAGTTCCCAGCAGCCACTGCACCGGCGACTGGAAGCAATGTGAGTTGTACTGGGTAGTTCCATGTTCCAAGCACTAGTGCCACGCCATAGGGCTCTTTCAGAATCTTCACACCATCAAACATGTTCGCCAGTGCCTTCTCTGGCTGAAATTTCAAAAAGAAAATCACCCTCATGTTTTAACACGAATTATCAAATATTTCATCAATGTAAAGTGTATCTCAGTAGACTAGTAATTCAGGGGATATTTGAGAGCTAAAAGAAACTGTTTCTCTAGCTGGCAAGCTCTAAGTAAGTAAGATGTTAGATAGTATTTCTCTTCTGCTGTTTAGCCTACTTTTATTTAATCTGAACAATCTGTACTTCTCTGTTCATGCCATTTTTTGTGGATAAGAAATGATAATCTGGTTTAAAAATCTTGGTTTTGATAGAAAATGCTAGGGTATAATAGGTTTGACTGACTAAAAATCTGTCATTCGTTTTAACTTCCTCTGTGTTGACTATAGTTTTGACCTCATCAGGTAATTCTGAACCATCGTCAGAGTTTAATTATCCTTTATTTATATATAGAACCTTACAATGAAGATGAATACACTTACCGTTTCAGGTTTCATCCAGTCTTTTAAATGTATTAATGTATTCCTAATGTCATTCTTCAATAAATCTATTTCCATTACATACGATTCCATCTTGCTCTGAAAACATACAAATAAATTTAACCCACCAAGTGTCCATAATAATGGCATTAATGTCGGCCCATTTATTGCGCATTAGCAGGGTTTTATTAAAATGTATCTTAGAAACTTAAAAACACTCTAAAGTAGGCCTATACTGTTTTATATATCATTTTGTTTGGTAAATTATGGGCTTCAATTTAATATATAAAACATTACAAAAAAAGTGTTCTAAAATTTTAGTGGGGTTACATTAACATTTCTCAAAAATTATAAAATAAATGAAAAAATTTTATGTTTATGCTCAATAATTTTTTATAATTTTAGGTCTACAAATAGCCTATTTTAAAATAGCCACTTTGTTCTAAATTTTATGAGGATTCCAAAAATATAATAATATAAGGAAGTAGGTTTGCAAATAAATAAGTTATGGGGGAAAAACAGATTTCGCACATTTAGCGTTAGCTAAGAATGCATAGCCTAACCATAGCTAGGAATCTGGCGGATAATTTACATCAATATCACTACCTACCTACTTCTTCAGGATCATCAACCAGCCCTTCAAAATCACTTATATATTCTTATAATGCACCACGTATATCACTACATTTTATTTTTAACACTAAAACAATGATAAACGTAATAAAACACATCAATCATCGGTGCGAGGTTAACCAAGTTGTTTACAAATACGCACGTCATCTGTCTGCTACAATATTTTCGGAACTAAAATGAAAAGCGTCTAGAAACAGACATCAGGAGAGAGCTTAGAACCTGCTGAAAACAACGATACCAATCTCGATCCAGTTCAATCTGATTCAGTCAGTCCCAGAGCCTTCGCCGTAAACGATGTTTGTGTGTCGCAAAAGCGACGCATAACACCACGGCGGATTACGCGACGCTTAACACTCGAAGGGTTAAAATCACTTAAAGGATACCCATCCTTAGAGTACCTAACTCATATAGAGCTCCCTCTTTTTTAAAGAAGGCAATGAAAGGGATGCTAGTAAAAAGGCTAGTGGTCCTAGGTTAGTCTCACTTGTCTCTGTTAAGTACGTGTTTCTTAGACTTAAGCCGGGTTTTCCTAGGCGCGGAGTCGGCCAGCGGAGAGAGGAACGCGGAGAGCGGACTCAGCTTGTCTTAGGCAATTTAATGTTAATGTTTTCCTAGAAGCGTAGCGGAATGCCATGTTAATTTCAATTCCGCTCTCCGCGTTCCTCTCTCCGCTGGCCGACTCCGCGCCTAGGAAAACCCAGCTTTAACCTTTTTTACTATTTATTCAATACCGTATGTCTTGTATTATTTATGTCTTGTTACTCCTAGGTATAAGTAGTTTTTTTTCTGTCTTATATTTTGCATGTATCCCTATTGTATTGTTCATCAGTTTCGCATTGTTACTTAGTTTTAGTATTTAGTCATGATGAGTATCTCACTATTATTGTAATTCTTATTGTAAATTGGTGAAATCCGTTGGCAATAAATAAATAAATAAGGCTGCTTTACTCCCTCAACGAATTAGGTAGAGGATAAGCCCCTCATGAGATAAGTGTCTGTCTGCCATGCCAATCTGTTCCAAGTTTTTAGGTATTATTAACAATTCTTTAAATATTGAATATTGTATATAGTTTTATTATATTTAAGTTTGTGAAGCTATCTAGATCCGGCAAAGATGGTGAACTCATATATAGCCTACAAGAAAGTAAGTATAGGCTAATTTGTCTTATATTTAACCTATCTATTTATAACCCCTTTGATTGTTATTTTTTTCCATAAGAAAGGCATGGTGCCTTCTGGATTCCAGGGATTGCGGTGAAGATTAAAAGGAATTTTGAAAAGATGGCAATTGTTATATCACAACTTACCATTTGATTAGTTGACCATTTCATTGACTTAAACTAACTGTAGACTTGTAAAAGAAAAAAAGGTTTGTGGTGGCCTATTTGAATATTTTAATATATGTTAAGTTTTTTCTTTGATGATCTAAAAACAATGACTTACCTTGTGTAAATCAGATGAGAGAGCTGCCACTATTTCAGCCCCATTTTCTTCGTAAAGTTTCAACAGCTGTTGCAACTGTTGCTTACGGAACTCGTAGGGTTTTGTTTTTCCACTGCTAAATGCATTCCTCGCTCTTTCAATAATCTGTAAAATTAGGCCTATTAAGTTGGAAGGCATTTTTCAGCTTAAGAAATATAGGCTAAATAAAATATTAAATTTTTAACAATATTAACAACAAAAAAAATGAAATTTCCTTGATTTCCTCAAAATTACCTTGTTTAGTGCGCAGGTCGCTTTCTAAGCGGCTGAACAATAGTATAGGTTTAAGGTTTTGGCTAAGTTGGCATTTTGATTAACTAAATATATTTTTGCGTTTCAATAAGTTAAGTAAAGGAAAATGGCATTTCAATGGCCTTTTTTTTAGTCTGAGTAGGAATAGGGTTTTCTCACTCTCTGATCCCAAGAAATGGGGTCCGTCTCAAAAAATATTACAAATCAAAGTATCAACTGAATCCGGACACACTATCGATCTACATCTTCATAGCTTTGTGTAAAATAAGTTAACTGTTAAAAGTTTTAAGAGGGCTTCATAAATGTAAGTAGGCTAACACTGAAAAATACATTTAAGAACAGTGGCAAGCTTGTCTAGTGGTAGAGTCCCAGGTTCTAATCCCACCAATCATTTGTGGCTTTTATTTAGTAAAGCCCAGGTGATATCCAAGCAACTCTTTGATGCACAACAATCACACACATCCGGATAAGGCACCTGGGTCCTCGGCCCGCCCCTTCCAGAAAAATAGCAGTGGATAAAATTTTGAAATAGATTCTCTAACTTTATTAAACTCGGAACTGAGTTATATAATTGTTTTAAATATATTTTTTCTTTTATTTTATAAATGTACCTAGCTTACAGGCATTAGCTTTGACTATCAATAGAACTTCTGGTTTCTGGAGTCCCCCAGGGTTCTCATCTGGGTCCATTTCTTTTCAATATATTTGTTAACGATGTTGTGGATAGTATCGACTGTCAGTGCTTGCTGTTTGCTGACGATATCAAGGTTTTCAAGTGCATAAAATCTCAGGCAGACTGTTCCACCCTTCAACAATGTTTGCACTCAATCGACAATTGGTGCCTGGATAACCACATGGATATCAATGTTTCAAAGTCTGCAGTGGTATCTTATCACCGTACCGAGCAGCGTATTGACTTCTACTACACGATGAATAATGCCATCCTGCCACGGAAGAGTGTCATACGAGACCTAGGAGTTTTAATGTCATACGATTTAAACCCAGACCTGCACATAAATACAATCTGCAATAAAGCCTCTAAAGCTCTAGGTTTTGTCATTAGATGTGGTAGATACGGACTTGATGTTAATGCTCTGAGAACTCTTTACATGACTCAGGTTAGGCCTGTGCTGGAATATGGCAGCTTGATATGGAATCCACATCAAATCAGCCACATATCAAGAGTAGAAAAAATTCAGAATCGCTTTCTTCGCTCTATTGGCGTCAAGTTGGGCCATGAATTCTATACAGTGCCGATTGAAGATATTCGCATCGATATGGGCCTTCCTCGACTGAGTGACCGTAGACAATCTGCAGACCTGTCTTTCCTCTGGAAGTTGTTGAACGGCGAAGTTAATGCTCCAGAAATACTTCGCCTAATTAATTTCCACGTTCCTCGACACTTCAGGCACATTCAACTCTTCAACAAAGCTTTTTTCTACAAACTACGCCTTCCACAGTACAATTCCACGGCTCCACAGAATTGGAAATCAAGCATGCCAACATGTTGACGTGTTCACCTGCAAACTGAAAGCCATAAAAAATATCATAGTTTAAGTTGTTATTGTTATTGTTTTTTGTTGATGAGAAATTGTCCTGAGATCACTGTCCGGAATTTGCTACCTGTTTGTTGTTTGCACATTCAGATAAATTTGTATTGCACTGTTAAAATTCTTCACTTAGTTTACGTCACTGTTATTAATTGTTGTCATTTTTTTTCTTTTTTTTTCTTGTCTGTCAAATATATTAATATTTTTGCTTGTTATTGTTATTATATTGAAATATTTATCAATTGTTATCTAGTTTTGGTAATCGTATTTTTCTCTAAAATGTTTATGCTTGTTAACTAGGATTTATAATACGCATGATCCAATTTTTTGTTAAAGCATTTTTGGACAATCCTGTTGGTGTCATTTTTTCATGTTAGCAATCTTTTTTTTCAGCAAGATGAATCTGAATCTGACTTATATATATTTATAAATATTTTATTGTATTGCCCTCATGTATTATCGATTGTAAAAATGGTGTTTACCGTATGATAAATAAATAAATAAATAAATAAACTATAGACACTCTATCCCCATGTTGTATTATTTGTCACTAGGATTTAATCAATGGACGTAGCTGAATTGAGCCTCTAACAGATTGCAATGATGTAAATTTTTTAATTTCTGATTACTGTTAAAAAGTTATTGTACTATTTTTTGCGCCATAAAACCCCATTGATTAATTTATTCCCTCCACTTACCCATTTTAAATTGTTTTCCCCTGTATGCCTAATTTAAATTAAGTAAGTCAAGGGCGTACCCGGGATCAAAACTAGGGGGGGCTTTGTAACAGGGGCGGCACACCAGGGGGCCTGGGGGGTATGGAATACCCCCCAGCACATAGGGGGCTCCCCCGGGAAAATTTTAAAAACAATAAGCTGAAATAAGCGTATTTTTTTACGCAATTTTGAGACATTAATATATCAAACCTAGCTCGATAATCCAATGTTTATTTAAGTCTTAGTTTATGAAGTGGCTTTATGTCCGTCAATGTGGTCAGGTCAGGTTGCTTAGCTGTACAATACACATTTAACTGTATTTTTGTGCCCTTGCCAACTTTTCACGTCCATTTATAACACCCAAAATGTGTGGTAAACTATTTTGAAGAATGCCTGATAACTTATGCCGTAGAGCAATTTTGTATGTTACATTATTGTTGAAGGCAACTAAAAACAAAATAATGTCACAAAAAATAGGTTTAAATTAATTCATTATAGGCCTACTACACAAAGTTGTTAGTTTAGCCTATACATATTGCAAGAAATTAGTCTATTTAAATTACTAATATAGGAATTTTTATTTTATTTTAAAAATAACTCAGAAACTAATGAAAAATTGATAACATGTGCCAAAAAATGTCATAAAAAATCTGTCCATCTTACTCATATTTTCTTGTACTAATAAAACTTTTCTTGGATCTCAATTTTGTATACCTTATCCTGGCTTCTAGGGGGGGGGGGGCAGCTGCCCCACCCGTGCCCCTCTCTGGGTGCGCCCATGAAGTAAGTTAGGATTTAATGTCAGGCTGATGGTAGAAAGTATGTTTCATTTTGCTTCTGTTAATTTATATGAAATCTTACCTCCGTGTATTTCCCCATATCTGTGAAAACTGACTCGGACAAACAGCAATTCTCTGAAACAAATATTGTAAAATTATTACCGTAACCTAATGTGTACCAAAATCCTATTTTTTTTTTTTAAGTCTTATGAGGTTTAAAGGTTTCTGTTTACCTATTTTGAAATTATTGACACAATTTTCTCCACACAGTTTTAAACTTAATACATTCATATTACTGTAGCCTATCAAATAGAGCTTATTAACTAACTTATGATGTGCAATTCGAGTTAAATTGCTTCATTAGACATCCAAGACGTTTAAGTTATCAGACTTCCATTGAATCTCATGACTTCAACTTGTAGGACATTGATACGGTAGGCCTACTTTTATCCTAGGGTAAAAATTCAGTTTCCACAACTCACCTTGTTAGTGTAAGTTACCGTAAGTTAAGTCCATCTCAATAGAAAAGGATGATGTATAGATTTTGTAAGGAAAGGTATTTGAGGTAACTTAAAGTTATGACACAATAAAAACCGTTGGCTAGGCCTACTTTTGGGGGGAAATTTTTAATAGGCCATAGGCCTACTTTTTATTTAAAACCATGAAAGATTTTGTACTGTGTTGTTGTTGACCTAAAATTGCATTAGACTAAGTTAAGTTCAATCAATTCAATTATCAATTATTTAAGATGGGGACGCCAATATGTGCGTATAATAACCCAAATATGAGTGAAGGATGAGTGTAGGATGAGTGGCGCGATCTTGTAGTCTTGTTAGTGACTAAGGCTGACATATTCCTTAGACACAGCTGTTAATTAATAGCCCATACAGCTAATGGCAACTAAGTTAAGGGACCTACAGTTTATAGTGGAATACAAACCAATTTTTCCTTGAAATTAACGAATTGGTTTAATTATCAGGATAGTACTGCGGATAGTCGTAGTACTCACTAGTGTGGAGCACACCAGGGAGCATCGCATCCACAGTGCATGCTTATAAATATCCAAAATTCATAAGTTACATCATACGGACCAAAATTAAAGTGTTACTGATAAACTTAAGTTAAAACCAAACTTAGCCTAGCCTATAGAACATAGGCTATACTCTTATATGACAAGAATAGTATATTGAATACTTCAAGAATTTTTAAAACATTAACCTATAAAATGATAACATATAGAACTAGGGTTAAAATCTAATAGGCTAACTTATTTGTGTTTTCCAGTTTTACAAACAAATTAAACTAGCCTATAAAATGGGCATATGGCAACTTACAAGCTACAATATTATTATCAATTTAATAATGAGCACTTGAATCATACAACAAATAGTTCAACGAGACAAGGCAAAACAAGGATAACGGTAGTAATGCTGCATCATAACAATGTTCCTACAAAATTGACAATGAATTAATTATTTATAATGTATGGCAATGACAGGCCTATTTAACAGACCTATTTACTAATAAACAGCTGATGTCAAATGAATCTTGACATTTGACAATGACAACGTCCAACGATGAATGATTTGATGATTGATGAATGACGGAGGCTGGCGGATGTCAAAGCAGAAAGCAACCAGTTTTTGTTTACAGGCTGACCAACGTGAAGATTTAAAGAATTGGTTTGCAAAAAAAATACAATTTGCCATACCACATAAAAATAATTACCTTCGTAAATATAAACACAGAATCATGTATTCAGTATTATTATAAGGGGGAATTGTATGTAATTTTTATTCAGCTTTAATTTATCCTTCCATATTTTTATTCTTCTTCATATCTCTTCTCTCCGGAGCTTCACCTATAGATCTACGAGTGGAAGCGCCATCCGTTTCTTCAACAAACTCCCAGCTGCCACTAAGACCCTCGCCACTCGCCAGCAGAAAGTTTAAAACCACCACAGCAAATTTCTTCCGTAAAAATCCCTACTTCTCAATAAAGGAATTCCTGGAAGGTAGTTTGGATTAGCTTAATTAGTAACATAGTGACCTTTTTTTACATATTTAAAAATTTTTGAGTCTTGTACATATGTGCGGGAAATAAAATAAGTTGTTTTTACGCTGACACAGCCTATTCCCATCATACGATGGGTCAACGGCCAAGAAGGTGGTAATAAGGTAATAACATAAATAGAGAGATGGTCATCTGGTACTATCTCTCACATTAAACCTCATCACAAATCAGATAAAAAGCTTTAAACTATCAAAAGCAGTGACCCGACAACAGAAGCTTAGACACTGTGGACGGTCTAACATTAAAATTTTAACATTTAGGACGGTAAAAACAAAAGATAATACTGCCGGTATGAGACAACGTGACTTCCGTCTAGACATAATTTCCGCCCGATCACGTCGTGTTTCGTAGGCCTACCATACAGGACCCAGCTGTTCCTGATCATTGAGCTTTGAATAAATGATCCTGACTAATGAAACCGCTGATCTTAGTCAGTAACAAAGCTACACAGATCATCACACAGCATTCTACACTCATCCTTCACTCATATTTGGGTTAAAATACGCACCTAGGTGGCGTCCCCAACTAAATTATTGATAAATTGACAATTGATACCCTAGCTATCATCTTTCATTTTTACCGTCATAAATGTTCAAATTTAAATGTGTGTGTGTGTGTGTGTACGTGTCTTATTTATTATTTTATCAACTAACGACCTTCATATGAAGCGACAACACATCTTCACTGGCCTGGGGTTGACTCCCAATAATATGAGTTGAAACCGGTTGCCATACCGCAACGCGATGGATCGCAAACATGCAAGTATTTTACACAAATGTATAGGCTATATAGTGGTTTAAATTACCTTGTTACTGTCAAAACGATCCTTTGTAGTTAGTAAGACTACAGCTGTTTCATGCTTCGAATGGAGCACATCATCAGGTCAGAAGAATGTCAAGTAGTCTTCATATTCCTCGCAGTGGAGTTCGTCAAAAGTTTAATAATAAATAGAGAACGAAACACATAACACACGGAAACACGAAACATTTAATATTGGTCGACCAGACGACGGTAACAACACGAATTCGAAGCATGAAACAGCTGTAGTCTTACTAACTACAAAGGATCGTTTTGACAGTAACAAGGTAATTTAAACCACTATATAGTTAATTCAGACGATCCAGAGGCCATTCCACCATGAAAATGTATAGGGTTCAAATGCGATCAGGAGGTTCAATTCAATTCAATGTCGTGAAACAATAACACGGAGAACCGAGCCCAGTCTTAATGCGAACATAAGAAGCCATTGTTGAATATATTATGACATTGATTATGATGGCAGGTAGGTCATGATGAGCATTCATAGAAGCAGCATTGCTAGCATTACAGGTGTCATTGAATACATAATCAGTTTCAGGCGTGGCTGGCCTTGGATTTGAGGCTCTGGGTTCAAAATTGTGTTTAAAACGTTGTATCGATAGACAAACCGAATGTTTAACTTTGATAGGTAAAACTTGATCATATTGACTTAAATAAACTGATTGTCTAGTGACGATTTTCTAATTCAATGTAAACGTATATGTTTTTTGTAGTATCTTTGACTGTTCATATATAGAACTAGACATTCCATACCCATATTAAAATTGTTGCCATAGTATTAAAATCAAAATTGGACGAAGCTGAAATAAGCGCTGTAAATTACTGATTTCTGTCAAATATTCAGACTTTTAAAGAGTAAGACAAACTGATAAGACGACTTATTGTACACTGTATCATCTTTTATTTTACGACAATAATTACTATCTCAGTTAAAAAAATAAGGTAGAAAATATAATTTTACACTCTCTGGTGACTGGCTCACCTATGACCTTTTTTAGTAAAAATTTGGCAACAGCAGGTTCCACGAATATTAGAGCAGAAATATATGGCTTGGCTGGTGCATAGATGTCATGTCTATCTCTGTTTGATTGTAAGGTTAGCAACCTATTTAGTTTTGTGTAGGTCAAGTTCAAATGGGTAATTAATATAACCCACCCCGATGCCTCAATTCCCTTAATTTAAAAAATATGCAATTTTAATTCAATATTTTTTTAGTCAAGCATTGTCTAACGAAATCATAGACATAATCTACAAAAATTGTTTACTGTTTATATTATGAAAGTGTGGCCATACTGTAATTTGAAGATGAAGCTTTTAGACATTTAAATCATTAAACTTTATTTGTCATTGTTATTAATATTATGTATTGTTCTCACAAAACTTTTTATCATATTTATTGTTATTTCATTATTATTTATATTATTAGTTGTTTTCTAGGTTAGTCCATGTGCCATTTATTGTATACACATATTCATTATTTATTCAACTATGTATTTATTTCTCGTTACTCTTAGTTATTTCATTGTCCATGTTCGCATGTACTGTATTCTTATTATTGTCACTTTTAATATTCCTCTCATTATATAGGATATTATAGGATATTTAGTCATAATGAGCAATTCACAACTTGTAATCAAACTGTAAAATTGGTGTGAATCCGTTGACAAAATAAATAAATAAATAAACTTAAAAATATCATACTAATACCCTATATATATATGATACTTTTCAAACAATTCAGGAGACAGATTCGGTTTTTATTACTTACTTAAACACATTCAATGTCTCTTGATCAATAGAACATTTTAAATACTTCACAACACAGTCACTAATATCCCAGCCGTCATTAGGATTATTACGAACAATTAATTGTTCTGTAATGTTCGTCCCCAGTCTATTACTCTAACTAGGTATTGTTCCAGAAATAGCTAAAATGAGCATTAAGGTTTATCAATTTATCAAGTAACAGGCTTCACAGCAAGAAAAAAACTACAATCAACTGAAATAGTTGAAGAAGCAAAAACTATGGAAGCTAAATAATGCCTTTGCATGCAAAGAACTTACAACCGAAAGAAACTTTAGCCCAAGAAAGAAGATGATAAGAGTCGTCAGTTAGTTTTCTTTTGCAATAAACAATTGAAGATGTCAAAGCTATTCAAAGCCAAAAAAATATGGATTGAGTAGATGTGAATTTTTTTGTTCATGACCAAAGCTGTAACAACTAATCTAAAGGTCGAAACACA